ATTTGTTCATCTCATCTAGATTGTTGAACTTGTCTGTATATAACTGTTGAACTTGTCTGATTATCCTCTGGATTTCTGCTGTATCCATTGTAATTTCTCCTCTCATTCATAACCGTATTTGAGTTTTCTCTGTCTTTTTCTTTGTGAGACTGGCTAGAGGTTTGACTATTTTGGGTTTTTTTTTTTTTTTTCAAACCTGCTTTGGTTTCACTGATCTTGCACTGTCTTTTTTATTTCTATTTCATTTTTTTCCTGCTTTAATTTTTATTATTTCCTTTCTTCTATTTGCTTTTGGGTTTTTTTTCTTTTTCTATTTCCTCGATATTGGAGATTAGATGTTTCTTTGGGTTTTTTCTTGTTTCTTGATATGGACCTACCTGTAATTTGTATACCTCTCTCTTAATACTGCTTTTGCTGTGTCCTGTATGTTCTGTAAGGTTGTGTCCTCAATATTTGTCTCAAGATATATTTTAATTTCTTTTTTAATATCCTCATTAACCCAGTTGTCTTTCAGTAGTGTGTTGCTTAGTCTCCCAATAATGGGCGTTCTCCTTTCTTTTTGTGGTTGATTTCTGGTTTGATACTTGTATGTTCAGAGAAGATACTTGGTATGATTTCTGTCTTCCGTATTTGCGTTTGTCTTGTGACTCTGTAAGTGATCAATCCTGGAGAATGATCCATGTACACTTGAGAAAAAATATTCAGGTTTGGGGGGATGGTGCAGTGTCCTATAAACATCTGTTAGGCCCATGTGATCTAGATCTTTGTTTAGGTCTATTGTGTTAGGTTTATTCCCAAGTTTATGATTTTTTTTTGTTTCAATTACCAAAGAGGTGGTTTTCATGATTTCTTCTCCTTCAGATTGATTGTTTGCATATAGGAAGGCTACTGATTTTTTGTGTATTGATTTTGTATCCTGCTACTTTACTAAACTGGTTGATTATTTTAATTAGTTTTTCTGTGGAGTTTTTAGGGTTCTCTATGTCTATTAGCATATTGTCTGAAAATAGTGATGGTTTACTTCTTTCCCTATTTGGATTCCTTGTATGTCTTTCTCTTGTCTTATTGCTCTGGCTAGGACCGCCAGTATTAAATTGAAAAGCAGGGTGAGAGTGGACATCCTTACCTTGTTCCAGATCTTAAGAGAAGGCTTTCAGCTTTTATCATCAAGAATGATATTGGCTATGGGTTTGTCATATATAGCCTGTATTATGTTAAAGTATGTTCCTTCTATCCCGAGAATTTTGAGGGCATTCATCATAAGCAAATGTTGAACTTTGTCGAATGCTTTCTCAGTATCTATTGATAAGATCATATTGTTTTTATTTTTCTTTTTGTCAATGTGTTGGATTACATTAATTGATTTTTGGATGTTGAACAATCCTGTGTCCCTGGAATAAATCCCACTTTGTCATGGTGAATTATCCTTTTGATGCATTGTTGGATTCTGTTGGCTGTGATTTTATTGAGGATTTTGCATCAGGGTTCATTAGAGAGGTTGACCTGTAGTTTCCTTTTTTGTGTTGTCTTTGTTCAGTGTTGGTAGTAGTATAATGTTAACTTTATAAAATGTATTTGATTGAATTCCTTCTCAAAATTTTAAAAGAGTTTGTGTAGGATAGCCACAAATTCATTTCTGAACATTTGGTCAAATTCATTTGTTAAGGCATCTGGTTTTGGGCTTCTGTTTTTGGGTGGGTTTTTATTACTATTTGTAATTCGTCTGTTTAAGTGCTCTGTTTCTTTATCTAGCTTTGGATGATTTATAGTCCTGGAAATTTGTCCATCTCTTCTTCTTAGTTTGTTGAACTTATTTGTATATATAACTATTCATAGTATTCTCTGATTATTCTTTTGGTTTCTGCCATATCTGTTGTAATTTACCCTATTTTTAATGATCCTATTTATTTGTGCTTTCTCCCATATTTTCTTTGTAAGCCTGGCTTGTGATTTGTCTATTTTTTTTTTTTTTTTTGAAGAGCCAACATTTGGTTTCATTGATCTTTTGGATTGTTTTTTTAACTTCTATTTCCTTTATTTCTGCTTTGATTTTTATTATTCCCTTTCTTCTACTTGCTTTTGTGTTTTGTTGTTGTTCTTTTTCCAGTTCTTTAAGGCAGGAAATTAGGTTATTTCTTTGAGTTCATTTTTTTTTCTTGATGTGTGCCTGTACTACCATATGTATTCCTCTGATTAGTGCATCAGACTTCCCCAAAGAAACTTTATGGGCAAGAAGAGAATGGAGTGACATATTTTCAAACTCCAAGTCAACAAATGCCAACCAAGAATACCCCTCAAATCTCTCCTTCCTCTATAAAGGCAAAATAAAAAACCTTCTCAGACAAACAAATTCTCCATAAATTCATTACTACTAAACCCCACTCCAAAAAATATTATATGAAATCCTAAATCCAAAACCAACAGAGGAATGTATAGGAAGAACAGAATAAGGTAAGGAATACAATCACAAAAAGGCAAACAAAATGTAAAATATGAATGCCAGTGTATGAGTATTAACTCTAAATGTAAATGGACTAAACTCACCAATAAAAAGACACAGAGTAGCAGTCTGGATTAAAAATCAGAACCCAGCCTTTGGCTGTCTACAGGAAACACATTTAACTACAAAAAATAAACATATATTGAAAGAAAAAGGATGGAAAACAATCCTACAAGCAAATGGGCCAAAAAAGAAGGCAGGAACAGCTATACTTATATCAGATAAAGTAGACTTCAAACTAAAAAAGTTAGAAAGAGACATAGACAGTTGCTACATTATGATTAAGGGGACAATACATCAAGAAGACATAACACTCATCAACATATACCCTCATCAAATGAAGGAGCACCAAAATATATTAGATGGTTATTATCATCTCCAAAAACAGACATTAGAGAAAATACATATGTAGTAGGAGATCAACATACCACTCTCACCAATGGATATTCAGCAAGGCAAATATTAAGCAAGGACACTTGCTCTAAATAAGGACCTAGACTTCATGGGCTTAACAGACATCTATAGGACACTGCACCAAAAAAAAAAAAATCTGAGTAAATATTTTTCTCAAGTTTACATGGAACATTCTCCAGGATCGATCACATACTGGGACACAAGACAAACATCAGCAGATATACTAAGATCAAAATACTACCGACTATCTTCTCTGACCATGAGGGCATCAAACTAGAAATAAACCATGAAAAGAAAACAAGGAAGCCTCCTATCTTATGGAGATTGAAACCCACACTACTGGAAGACCATTTGATCAATGAGGAGATCAAAGAAGAAATTAAAAAATACCTTGATATTTTGATTTTATCTTTATTATAACGAGTCTTTTTCCTGGTCCCTTATTTAGGTTTTCTAAATTCCTGCTATGAGTAAGACCATGAACAAGCAGTTATAAACCAGAGATACACTATGGGGGAGTGGGAGAGAGAAGGGGAGGACTTAGGGTCAAAATAAGGAGAGAGGGAATTGTGTGGGGAATATAACTAAAATGAAAATGCATGCATTGTGCAAAAATGAAAAATGATGTAAGAATTATGTAAAATAAAATAATTTAAAAAAATACCTTGAGATGAACAACAATGAGGACTCAAGTATCCAGTATGTATGGGACATAGTGATAGCCTCCTCTATTGATCTTTTTATTTCCTGCAGCTCCTTTTATCCCTTATTTAAATTTCAATTTCGATTTTCTCTTCATTGATTATGTTTCCCATAGCGTTCTTTACCTTTTCTGCATCTTCTCATATGCAGTCTGTTTTTCTGAGGGGTGTGTGTGTGTGTGTGTGTTCTTCTAATCTTTGACACCTTAATTATGACAATTTTGAATTCTTCATCTGACAAGAAGAAAAATTCTTCCCAGTCAATATTGTTGGGTTCTGGAAATTGGTTTTCTTTCTGTGATGTATTGTTTACCTGAGGGCTTGCTTGACCATTTTTATTTTTCTTTCTCCCCATTGTTTACTCTGGGGTTTGCTCTGACATAGATGGGGCTTCTGATGGGCATGATATCCCTCTTTCACTATTCTGGATATTTAACTGATGGTGGGTACAATTGTGGTGCCTTAAACACTGCTGGTCCAGGTGAGCAATTGGCTGACAGTATGGGCTGGAGAGTGACTGGACCTCCAGTGGCTCTCCCACTCTCACCAATGGATATTCAAATCCAGTGTGCCGGACCTCCATTAGCTCTCCCCCAGGTGCAGGTCATAAAAACAGCTAGGGCCAATAGGTGGGACACCCCTTAAGCAATATTCTTAAATTGATATTCTGTATAAAATATATGCTAGAATACATATATCTGAAGCCTTTTGATATTTTTTGTACCACTTGGATTTTTAGTGAAATCATATTATCTTTTCAGAAAACTTAGAATATTCTTTCTCTCATCTAAATTTTTCAGATTTAAAAATTTACTGCATTGATTAGTATTTTCTTATATAAGTAATTTTTTCCATTTCACTCTTTACTTTCTATGTGTAGTTTCTCCATTTTTAAAGTTTCTATGAAGCAGAACATCTGGTTTGTAGTTTTTTCCTTCCTTTTCATTCTTAAAATAAAAATAGGCATACTTGAGAAAATAATCTCAACTCTATAATTTGCAAATTGTTTCAGAGAATAGAGAAATTTGTATCTACCCACTTTCCCCATTTTAGGATGACAAAAAACATTTTCCATGTGCTTTTTTCCCTTCCCTGTCCCCTCTCCCTTTCCCTTTGTTAAATTTCATCTTGACACTGAAGTCTTCCTGTCACATTTCATAAATAACTATCTGATACATAGAGTCTCTTCCATGCTGTTCTGTTCATTCTTCTCTTGATTTAGATCCTGAGTCTCTGATATGTTCAAATATCAAAATTCATTCACTTGCTTAGGAACATTTTTTTTCCTGCTTTGGAAAAACATGAAGGAAATGCCTATAAAAAGTATATTGTTTATAAGATTTCATTTTTGTGTTTTACATTTACTCTGCTTTTAATCACTTCAGGAAAACAACACATCATGGCCATTACCTGTGAAAATTTTCTGCAGAGATGAAAAAGGAGAGCGTGTTGATGTTTCTAAATATTTGATTAAAAAGGGTTTGGCTCTGAGAGAAAAGAGGTATAGACTTTTTTATCATTAGTTTGTAAATGGTGTATGCCCAAATATGTTTGTGTAAAATAGAAATGGGTAGTAGACAACATAACTGAACAATTTTTACATTTAAGAATCTTTTCAGGTACTAAGTATCATTGTTCCAAGGAGAAAAGGAGCAGGATATTGCTATACCTCTGCTTCATCTTTTTACCTCTTTCCTTCAAAATGTGGAGAGGTATTGGAATTGCAAACATATGTCCCAAGTAGCCACTTTGTACCATGTATGGCCAGATCTCTTTAAATCTTACATTATTTTATCTTACCTTGGCCCTAATAAAATAGAAAAACAATGAGAAATCAAATTAAATTTGGCATGATTTAGTTGGCAAGGTATGGTAGTTGCTGCCCTAGTTGTCTGGACAGTGTCATATCGCTCAGTTACGTCTTTAGTTCTGTGTGTGTCTCTGTCCAGTTTCACTGGTTTTAAGTTAAAGCAATTCCTTGATAATAGAAATGTTAAAGTAAAAAGTGCTTAAGCAAGTTAATACTCCTGATATCTATGACTAAAGGTGTTTTTTTTTTTTTTTTTTACTGTTTTTATAGCATTAAAACTACTAGCTATGTCAGTGCTGGGTGCAATGAGGGAACTGTGTTAGTTGAGGAATTATGTAATTACTTTATCTAAGCATTGATACATAATTGTATATGGAAAGTAGGAGAAACAAAAATCTGTAATATTTCTACTGCTATAAGCAATATTAATATTTCCTTCTAGGATTTTTAGCCTATTACTAATAATAATATATTGTTATTTAAGGGACTCATGTTATCTTTGTATTTTTTATGAATTTTGGTAACTTGCAAAATGTGTTTGGCCTCTCTGTGGATGGAACTAAAATTGAAGGTGATATAGTTTCTAGTAACATCTTGCAAATTTGTAGTATAATACTTGGATTATACATATTAAAAGATTTTTAAGAGAGAATAGCATATAAATAAGATGATTTAATGTGGTTAAGTGAAATTACAATGCTTTTTTTCATCAAGTTCATTCATAATTTAAAGTAATTTTAAAGCAAACATTTTCTTTAAACCTTAAATATATTTGAAGATTCTTTTTATATTGTTTTCCCCAGAACACTTTTATTTACTCATGTTTAGACATTTTTTTTGGATGTTACAGAATTAATAAATTAGAAAATAGCCATGCCTTATTTGAAAAGTCTCTGGAAATTCCCCTGGAACAAGAAGACTCAATGATTTCTAAGTGTATTAAAATTAAATTTGACCCTGACAAAACTGCTGATAATATCAGTGAGCAGATGGTGTCTGAAATTAAGGGGGAAAATGTAGAACCAAGAACTATTGGATGTTATAAACCACCAGCTATTCCCAACATGAAAGTATTTGAGGCAATAGTCAGTTGCATTGGTGATGATGGAACTATATTTGCAATACCTAAATTTTCAGGTAAGATCTTTTATATTATTTAGTGTTGGTAAAAGTAGTAGTTTTTTCTCTGGTCAGATAAACATGGATTAAAGCACCTTGGGTAAATATTTTACTTCTTTCAATCTCATTTTCACTGGGTTGTTGAGAGGGTTAAGTGAAATAACACACACAACTGCTTTCCACAGTACCTAGCACATAAAAGTCACCATTGAGACACTGAGAATAGCCATTAGAACGAAGATAAGGATTGTGGTAGTTCCAGGTTTGTAAGACCTGGCCCTTACACAAGTTTGGAGGCTAAGAAGATAAAAGAAGGCTGTTTATATTTGTTTGGAATGAAAAAAGAAGTCATGACAAATGACTGGAGCTGCAGTATGCTTTGAGAATATTCTGATCCATTCTGGGATCTCTTTAGACTTACGTGTAAATGCTTCTTTACTGCAGAGTATGTGCAGAATACACAATAACTCACAGTAACTCTAACCTTCACAGACATAAGATTCATTAGCTCCATAAAAAGTCTACCTATGAATGAGGATATGGCATGTATGAATTTGTTAAAATTTTTGTCTCACTTTTTGATCTCCTAAATACTCTTTTTCATTTAAAAACAGAATAAATACGTGCATTTGGCTATTCTAGAAGAAGTGAACAGTGTTTGAAACCTGTAACAATAATACTTAATCCAGAACCTTTGCTCTACATGTGTAAATAGCTACTGCTGATACTGGTTGGGTGTACGTGCCTGGTAGTGTTTTAGATGTTTTACATCTAATCTCCCACAATACTAATAATGCAGCTATTTTTTTTCTAGTTTATAAAAGAATAAACTGAAGTTTATGAAGGTAATGGAACTATGCAAGGTCACATAGCTAAAATGGTATAACTAATACGGGAACTAACTCAGAGCTTGCTTTCTGTAGTATCAATAATGAGTAAATTAGCAGTAAAGAGCAAGATTAGAATTTTAATTTTTTAACCCCAGCTTATGCTGTATCAGTGCATCAAGTACCATATAATTTTTGCTCTAATCTTACTTAGGTATGATGTAAAGCTGACATCTTGCAGTGGTAGTTCATAAATAGGGTTACGTGACTTGTGTTTAGAACTTTAATGATGCTTGCACTCCCAAAATACAACTTGTATTTATAACCAGAGAGCAGAATAGTCATTTGCTTGCTGTTAATCAGAAGTATATTTTGAAACATAGAAGCCACTGAGATTTTTATTAAAGCTCTATTTATTAAATGAGAACTAATTTCTAATTCCTTATATCTAAGTGATGAAATGATTAAAGATTACTGATGGCTTCCTATTGGAAATGATAGGGGATTTTTCCTAAAATGCTTTATATTTTTAATAATTTCTCCAGAATTTGAGCTAATAAAAATGATGAATGAAATACAAAGTAGCTTAAAATGCCTTGGTCTTTTGGAGCCTTATTTCTGGAAAAAAGGAGAGGCCTGTGCTATAAGAGGATCAGATACTATGTGGTATCGAGGCAAAGTAATGGAAGTTGTTGGCGGCACTATCAGGGTGAGTCTGAAGTTCTATAATGACTGTTTTAAGACTAAATATTATGACATTAATTGTCTTGTAAAATGTAATTGCATGAAAGTTTGATTAGAACACTTTAATTATTTTAATCCTATAGAAAGACCAGTCAGATGCCTTATACAGTTTTTTATAAAAATAAGTTTTATTTTAAACTATATTTAGTAGCCTAAATAACAAAAAAAAATTCCAGGCATACTGGTATTTTGGCCAGTATGGTATTTTAGTGGTGCCACTTACTTGCAGTTGACAGCCTTTATCTCTTTAATACAATGTGTTAAATAAAATGTTTGTTAGCCAGCATGTTAAATATCTCCTTAACAAATTGTTTATAGCCCAGCTAATTTATCCTTTTTGCATAAGGGTTAATTATATTGCAGAATACTGAGAGTTTCATGAAAATAATTTGAGTTTCATGAAAAATCTTCACAAAGAACTCACTGTGAAAAAATGTGTATATATGAATATAGATGAATATACCTCCATTTATAATACATTTACTAAGTAAAGTAATAAAACTGATAATGCACTTCATTTACAACTTGGAAATTTTAGTTTTAGGAGGGGAGTAAAAATTAAGGAGTAAGTCTTTTGTTTCTACTTGCAGAGCAGTATATTATTATTTGATGATAACATTTCAGGCTTTACAGCTTCTTTCACATATGTATATTTGCATTTTATAATTTTTTCCAACTATCATAGATAAGAGATAGTAATTCCTTTTATTAATAAGAAAGTTGAATTTGCCCAAAAGTACCTTATGAGTGGGTGACGATGCTGCAATTAAATCCAAGTATCTGATTCTAAAATTTTTGACCAATTTTATATTTTATTACTAGAGTACAAGCTCTAAATTGTTTTAATAGAAGTAAAGTGGTTTTAAATTTTGGGTATTAAGGTATATTGATATTTATAGGCTCATAATTTTATATGCATGAGTTCATTTTCACATGCATTTGAATTGTTTAGTTAACTACTTTAATACAAAAATAAACTGAAATTCAGTTTTCACTGTTAATCATAATTAATGAATTTATATATGTGGAAACCAAATAAATAGTGGTAAACTTTATTTTTGCCCAAATATTTTTTTTAAAAAACTTCTTTAAAAGTACTGTGATATTTTAACCATCACTATGGTCACTTTATACTTCAAATATAAAATAATAATTTTTCATTCCCTAACCAGATATCCTTTAAAGTCTGTCCTATTATATACATTAAAAAATAGTGTATGAAACTATAATAACCCTTACACTCTATGATGTGTTCAGATATTTGCATTCATTTAATTCTGTTTTATTTTTTAAATATTTGTTGCCAGTCCACTTAAACAATGATCTGTTAATTACAATAATTGGGGCAAAAAAAAAAAAACAAAAAGAAATTGACATTTCTTATTCTTACCACAATTTAGAAACTGAATTATCAAAATTAAAACATTTCAAAAATGGTTTGTTGAGGATTCCTGGTTCCCATTTTCACATGTAAACAGCTTGAAGTCACCACTTTATCCTAACAAGTAAAACCAAACAGTCTGAAAAAACAACAACTCCCTCAGATCCATAAAAGAGGGAAGGCAAAGGGCAAACCACTACCCTAAAGATTAGGAGGCAGATAGCCAAATATAAGGATTCACACCTTAATGGGAATAGAGAATGATGACTAAAACTGCAATTGAAGAATAATTGGAGACTTGGTGTGTACAACTCTGTGAATTAAAACTCCAGGGGCATCCGAGCATAGTGAGGTGCCCCACCCCCATAGTTCTATGAGAATTACTTTTAGGAGCTTAACCTTAGCCTCACAGTAAATGCCAGAGAAAAATCCTCTTATGCACCTAGCAGTGGTGGGAAAACGATTTGAAATATGCCAGGGGATTTTGTTCTTCTAAATAAGACCTGCTGTCACTGTGAAACTGGTTAATCAAAGCCTAACCAGCTGGAGTATTATCAGAATGTAACTAACCTGCATGAGAAGAAATTACCCAATTCCAGTTAATTATAACATTCCACATAGAAAGGAAATACCCAAATCCAGTCCATTCAGCCCATACATTACCACCTAAGGAGAGTGACCAAAACATGAGAAACACTTGTGCAGTTCAGTCCAGAGATATAAGATTCACTAAAAGGCAGAGACCTAATCATAGGGCTGTATAACTCTTACCCCAAACCTATATATTGCAGTTCCTTGTGCACAGTACAGCGTAGCAAGTTATCAAGAAAAAATTGCAAGGCATACTAAAAGATAACACAATTGAGGAATATGCTAAGGACTCTATCATATACAATAGACAACATGCAAAAATAAATGGGCAATATAATCAGAGAAATAGAAATGCTAAGAAAGAAACAAAAATTTTAGAAATCAAAAGAAATAAAGAATGCTTTTGATGGACTTATTAGTTAACTGAACACAGCTGAAGAATCTCTGAGCTAGAAGTTACATCAATAGAAACTTCTATAACTGAAAACCAAGAACTGAACTGAATACTCAAGGACCATGGAAAAATTACAAGAAGTATAACATGGATAATAGAAATAAGAGGATATTTACCCAAAGGACACAGAAACATTAAATCAAAAGGGCACCTGCACCCCTATGTTTAGAGCAGCACTATTTACAATAGGCAAGCTATGGAAACAACCCAAATGCCCAAAAATAGATGACTGGATCAAGAAGATGTGGTACATATACACAATATATTACTCAGCAATCAAAAAAGATAAACTCATGCCATTTGCAGCAACATGGATAGAGCTGGAAGGGATCATGCTCAGCGAAATAAGTCAGAAAAAGAAAAATACCGGATGGTCTCACTCATAGCAGGAATTTAGAAAACCTAAATAAGGGACCAGAAAAAAGACTAATTATAATAAAGTAAAAATCAAAATCAACAAGCAGCTATAAACCAGAGACACACTATGGGGGGCGGGAGGAGGGAGTAGGATCAAAACAAAGAGGGTAGAAATTGTATGGGGACTATAACCAAGATGAAAATGCATACATTGTGCAAAAATGAAGTAAAAAATATATAAAAATTTAAATTATTGTTAAAATAAATAATAAAATCTTTTTAAAAACCAAGAAGTTAAAACTAATAAAGAGAAAAAAATAGCAAAAAAAAATTCTTGAGGCCAAAAAAAAAAAAAAAAAATAGAAATACCAGAGGAGTAGAAAAAAGGGATCAGAAGAAACAATTATGACTCAGTTCTTCCCAAATTAATGTCAGACATCAAACCACAGATTTAGGAGCTCAGAGAACACCAAGTAGAATCAATACAAAAACAAACAGGGAAAAAAACTATAGGCATATAATTTCAAACTATAGTAAAAGAAAGTTTCAAATTGATAAAAGCCAGAGGAAATAAATATCTGTAAAGAAACATAGATAAGAACTATACGTAACTTCTCAAAAAACACTGAAGCAAGAAGTAGTAGATTGAAATACTTAATGTCTTGAGAGAAAAATCTAGAATTCTGTACTCTGTGAAATTATCCTTCAAAGTGAGGTGAATCCAGAGAAACAAGAGGCTTTCTCAGAAATTAAAAGAACATTCAATTCAACATTCAAGCAGACTTGTAAAAAAATTGCTGTAAGAAATTTTATTGAAAGAAGGGAATTCAGATCTATAAGAAGAGAACTGAAGAAGAAATAAGCAAAGATAAAATTTTTATTTTTTTATGCTTAACTGACATAACACAATGGTTTGTTCAAAGTAGTAATAGTGTTATGGTGCAAATCCACGGAAAAGGAGATGACCTGGTTTGTGAGTCCCTGCCCGTACACCTAAGAATACCAAAAATGGATACCCAGAAAGAAACAAGAAAATGGATTTAAAAGGATTTATTTATTTACACATGGACTGAGAAAAGGTAAGATGAGGAGGATAAAATTTATTGGTCAATAGATGACCAAATCTGGCATATCTCACCCACAGTGTCTGCAGAGCAGAGACCAGTGTACACAATCAGAAACCAGTCAAAAGAGAATAGCCCACCTATGCTCCATCTTCCTAAAGTCCACATGGTAGCTCCACCTTTTACAATTTGGTTGTCTGTGAATGTCACCCATTTGCTGAGAGGCGGTTCTTCACTATTCCTGTTATAATCTCCCCATAATATTCCATTAAATCCTATGGAGAAAACTCAGTCTCAAATTCCATCCATTAGCGTGGGCCTTTAAATATTGTGGAAGTCTTTATACTGTTTATTTCTCCAGAATAATATCCACAAATGTTAATATTTGTGAAATAACCAAAATTAAACATCCTATTAATAACAAACATAATTGACAAATTTCCTTCAACGTTATAACATTGCAGAACAACCACTACCAGCCACCACTACCAGAATGGACAAGCAATCCTATATAGAACATATAAGACACTGAAGAAGTTTCACATAATAATTCTTATAGAACACCAATATTAACAGTTGTGTATACTAAGTTTAAACATTTCTCTCAAGTGACAGTGCTTCCTAGTAGGTTCCATTTTACCAGATATATACCAAATAGGTCAAATTCATCTAATGTCTTTTTCTTTTATGGAAAAAGAGAAATTTTATGGGGTGTTCAGGAACTCTACAGAGGTTCCATAAAATTTCCTTTAATCAATTAAACCAAAGACTGCCAATTTTTCCTAATTTAGATTTCTAGGAAGTTTATCATAAGTATTGGAGAAAATACCATTACCCAACAAGGACAACCTAAAATATGAAAGCTCTTCCTGGAGTCACCCAGCACAGTGCTGACAGCCAAAAATTATTATTTCAGGTCCACAATTAGGTATTTTAGCCTTTAGAAACCCTTAATTTCCCAACTCCCATTATACCAGATGTTTAAGAACGTAAGCAGTTCATGATAGGCTGTCACAACTGTACCCAGCCTAACTGACACAGGGTAGAAAAGAATAATATTGCATTACATACAATACCAAAACTTTAAAGACATACATGTTTCAAATCAAATCATTAAC